CCCCAAAGCCGATGTGACATGCTTCACCGGTGACGGCTCGAGTTCGGTGAGCAAGTCCGGGCGAGGTGTCATGCTATAGGTAGCGCCACTATCAATCACCCAATAGTCCAGGGGGTGTAGGGTCACCTTCCCCACAGCTGCTGGCTCCTCAAAGCCTTCATCCTTCTCTGGACCAGCCGGTACTTGCGTCGACACGAAGTAGAATAGACCCGGGTATCGATCGTCGCTCGGGTCCTTGTCGTTGTCTCCGCTCTTCATGTTTGCAGCTCCGCCACCGCGACTGCCACGGCCTCCACGGCCTCGTCCTCTCCCTCCTCCTGCTCCTCTACCCTCTTGGCCTTGAGCAGGGGTCCAACCATCAGGGAGTTTGTAGCAGTCGCGCTACATGTGTCCGCTCTTGTGGCAATAGTGACACTCGCCGTCGAATCGGCCGCGACCGCGTCCGTAGCTCTTGTCGTCGCTGCCGTAACCGCCACTCCTGCGGCCTCCGCCGAAGTTGCTGCCACCAAACCTTCCTCCCCCTCGTCCTCTGCCTCTTCCTCGACCATATCCACGGCCGATGCTCGCTGCCCCAGCGCCATCCGCACTCGCCAACTCACGGCGGCGGAAATCCTCTTGAAGGATAGCTCGCTTCACGTCTTCAAGCGAGAGGCGGGGCAAGTCGCGATTAAGGTTGATGATGAGCGAGGACCATGACTCTGGGAGTAAGGCCAGCAACTTGGTCTTCTTTTGGAGCTCACTGTATTTCAAATCAGCTCCCTCAAGCCGCGTCAACAAGTCGAAGAATTTCTGCACCCCTTCTTCAACCGCTTCGTCTTCTTCAATTCGTAGTGCCGCCATTTGCCGTTCCAACACCACCGCTACCGCCGCTGTCGCAGGAGCATGTACACCCTTGAGAGCAGCCCATGCCTTTGGTCCTTTCTCTGGTTCACGCTGGAATGGCTTGATGTGACGGATCTGACTGCTCCCCAACGCTTGCCCAAGTAAGAGATAGCCTTGTGCGCTCTTCCGCACCCACGGGCTCTTCTCCGGGTCGTTCTCGGGGCGCTTCTCCGTTCCTTCCATCACCTCCAGCAGGTCATAGTGGTCAAAGATGTTCTCCATCTTGAAGGACCATTCAGCAAAGTTTTCACCGTTGAACTTGTCAAGCCCAAACACCCTAGGCTCATCCCTAGGTGGGCCAAGACTTGGTTGCATGGGCGCCATGGCTGAATCACGGGGTTGGCCTTGAGCTTGAGCTTCTCCACTGCCACCAGCACCTCTGCCATCCCTTTCCTCAGGTCCAGACATTGTCGAAACTGCTCCAAGGGGCTCTGATACCACTTGTTATAGTCACAATAGGCTTGAATGTGCCTAAAACGAAAGATAGAGAGCACAGACGGATTTCTGCACAGCGGCTTCAAACGTTGATAGAGTTCTGCTCACAGCTGCAAATGACTTGATTCAAATTGGATCTGGAGCGCCTTCACGTCGTCTACAATTAGCAATTTAGATTGCACGATTTGATAAAGAATTGACGACACAGCGTCGGTTTGAACGAACGGTACTATGGCAGCCACTAAAGTCTTAGAACACAAGATAGGAAGAGTTACGAGTTGGGAATGACTCCCAGCTCCTACAAACCCCAAGAGCCGAGGTACAGTGATGTGGAACAGTGCCACACTGTCCCCAACCACGAAGGGTCTCGAAACTACCCTTCACTAGGGCCTACACCAAGTGAAATGTTACACTACACAAAGTAATGTAACTATCTTCAATATCTTGAGGTGTACCCTTTTTTGGCGAGCTTCGAAATCACTTGAGGCTTGACACCAAGGCTCGGGCTCTTCATCACAAACTCATCCTTGAGTTCTTGATGGGTCTGCTGCACACACCTGCGACACGCCGAACGTTCGACACAGGACAAAATAGAAACCGCGCACGACAAAATAGAAACCGCGCGCGAGACACAAACGACCGCGTAACACGCGTCTAGCGATAACTCGCTATTGACTCGACACACACACTCGACATCATGACTCAACATTCACACACAATTATAAGCATGAAATATATATTATCCCATGCCCTCATACCATTCCATACACACACACATTCACGCACACGGACAACAAGCCGAGTGCAAACCGTAGGGTTGCACCAACAGCGGTCTCCCTGGCGGACCCCTCTGGGGGTCCTGTCCTTGCTAGCTTCTCCACTGTCTTACCGTGCCCGGCAGCCCCCTCTGGCACCCTGTCAGGTCTCTACCTCCCCTCGTTCTCTACGAACTTGGTGAGTGGAGCTGATCTACAGGATCAGGGGGTTGACCAGTTCACTCCTGCGAGTCAGCGGGTGACCCACTGCACGTGTGCTCGGACGGGCCGACACTTGGCCACGTTTACCCGTCGACCGGGGTCGAGCCTGTACACACTGTCTACTGAGTCTCCTCCGGTTACTGCGTCTGGTCAGGTAGCTCCGTCGAGTCAGGTTTTTGCTGCAGCGTCCAGGTCTGGTCCTGAGTCTGCGCCCTGCTCGTGTCGTCTCCTGTCCCACCAGACTCTCCTCTGGCACCACCGCCTTGGTCACTCCTCCCTGCCTCGTCTCCGAGGCATGGCCTCCCGTGTCCTTGTCTCTGGTCTCCCCCGGTCCCTACCTCCCCTACCTCCGGGGCCTACCCCTACCTGCGTCCCTTGCGTCGAGGGGCGACAGCGCGCCGCCCCTCACTCCTCCGAGTTTCCTCCGACAGAGGCTCCACTGCAGACTCTTCACATGGACGTGTGGGGTCCCGCCCACGTCCGTGGCCAGGGTCACGAGCGTTACTTCCTGTTGGTGGTTGACGACTACTCGCGTTACACCACGGTGTTCCCCTTGCGCAGCAAGGGTGACGTCACTGAGGTGTTGATCGACTGGATCCGCGCAGCTCGTCTCAAGCTCAGAGAGAGTTTCGGCTCGGACTTTCCTGTTCTGCGTCTGCACTCTGACAGAGGCGGGGAGTTTTCCTCTGCCCGTCTGGGAGCCTTCTGTCGTGCACAGGGCATCCGCTAGACCTTCACGCTTCCGGCCTCTCCGCAGCAAAATGGGATTGCTGAGCGCCGCATTGGCATGGTCATGGACGTCGCTCGTACGTCCATGATCCATGCGGCTGCCCCCCATTTTCTGTGGCCGTTTGCGGTTCAGTACGCAGCGCATCAGCTCAACCTTCAGCCCCGGGTCTCCTTGCCAGAGACCTCCCCCACCTTACGGTGGACCGGGAAGGTTGGCGATGCGTCTGCGTTTCGGGTCTGGGGATCTCGGGCGTTTGTCCGCGACTTGTCTGCGGACAAGCTGTCCCCCCGTGCTGTTCCCTGCGTCTTCCTTGGCTTCCCCCCTGACGCGCCTGGGTGGCAGTTTTACCACCCCACCTCGCGCCGTGTTCTGTCCTCCCAGGACGTCACCTTTGACGAGTCGGTGCCCTACTACCGTCTCTTCCCCTACCGCACTGCGCCCCTCCCCCCGCCGCCGCTCTTCCTTGCGCCAGGTCCTCCCCCAGTTGACCCCCTCCCCCCTCAGGGTCCTGCCCTGTCAGGTGTGTCCCAGGTAGACGCGGTCGAGCCTGTCGAGGTAGCTGTTGACTCTGGTGCTGCTAGAGGTGCTGAGCCTGTGGGTGCCGGGTCTGGAGGTGCTGAGCCAGGGAGTGCGGAGCCTGGGGGTGCTGAGTCCAGGGGTGCGGAGCCTGGGGGTGCTGAGCCTGGGGGTGCTGAGTCTGGGGGTGCTGAGCCTGGGGGTGCTGAGTCTGGGGGTGCTGAGTCTGGGGGTGCTGAGCCTGGGGTGCGAAGCCTGGGGGTGCTGGGTCTGCTCGTGTGGCCTCTCGTAGTGCTTCGTCGAGGCGGGAGCTACTCTCTCCGCAGGAGCTGCGCGAGTGGTTTGCCCGGCGCTGGAGCCGTGCTGCTGGAGCTGGAGGTACTATTGTTGCTACTGGTCCCGGAGGTGCTCGTACTGGCGGTACTGGAGCTGCTGGGACTGGGGGTGCTGCTGGGGCTGCTGGAGTTGGTACTGCTGGAGCTGGTGGTGGTGCTGGAGCTGCCGGTCCTGCTGGAGTTGGTGCTGCTGGAGCTTCTGGAGCTGCTGGTGCTGGAGCTGCTGGTGGTGTTGACGCTGGTGTTTCTACTGACGCTGGTGCGTCTACGGGTGCTGGAGTTGGCGCTGTTGGAGCTGGAGGTGCTGCTGGCGCTGGTGCTGCCGCTGGGGGTACTGGTGCTGTCCCTGCTGGTTCTGGAGTCGCTGCGCGGCCGAGGCCGTACTTCGTTCCGCTCCTTGAGCAGGTTCTTGGTCTCCCGCCCTCTACTGGTCCTGCTCCTCCCTTAGAGTGTCCACAGCCTGTCCAGTCGCAGTCACAGTTTCAGCCTGTCTCTCCCCTCCCTGCTCCCTCTCCCTACACTGGTCCTACTGGAGGTCTTGCTGAGCGTCGTGCGCCTGCGTCTCGTCCTGCGTCGCCTGCTGCTCGCACTAGTGGTCGCGCTCCGCGTCCGCGTCCTCCTGCGGTCCCAGGCACACACCAGATGACACTGCGTCCTTCCACTGCTCCTCTGCGTGTCCCGTTGCCGTCTCCTCCAGAGTCCTCTCTTCCTGTTCTTGCTGACCCGGAGTCTGACTCTCTTCGTGCTGCCAGTCCTACTGTCGCGCGTCTTCTGTCTACTGTTGTCACTGACCCTTCCTTTGAGTCCACTGCTGCGTCGGCCCTAGTTGCTGGGCTTGTCGACATTGCTGCTCGCTGTCGTCTCGACTACTCTGCTAGTCTTGTTGCTGAGTCTGGGTCTGTCTGTCCTCCGTCCGTCAGGGGTGAGTGTGCTCTTAGCACGGACGTCCTTGAGGACAGGCAGGAGGAGTTCCAGTGTTTTGCTGCTGCTTTGCCTCATCTAGTGTCCACGCTGATTGCCCCTGAGGGAGACCCGGATGCACCAGACATCCCGACTCCTCGATCGTACGCTGAGGCGATCGAGGGTCCCTACTCCTCTCAGTGGCAGTCAGCCATGGACGCAGAGATGGCTTCCTGGAATTCCACAAGCACCTACGTCGACGAGGTTCCTCCACCTGGGGCGAACATCGTTAGTGGCATGTGGATTTTCAGGGTGAAGCGGACGCCGGGTTCTCCGCCTGTCTTCAAGGCACGTTACGTGGCTTGAGGCTTCAGTCAGCGGCAGGGAGTTGACTACTTTCAGACCTTCTCCCCGACCCCGAAGATAACCACTCTTCGGGTTCTACTACACGTTGCTGCTCAGCGCGACTACGAGCTTCACTCTCTTGACTTCAGCACAGCTTTCCTGCAGGGCAGCGTGCACGAGGAGATCTCGCTGCGCCGCCCACCTGGCTTCACTGGGTCTTTTCCCCCTGGTACCCAGTGGAGCCTCCGGCGGCCAGTCTACGGTCTCCGCCAGGCGCCCCGTGAGTGGCACGACACACTGAGGACTACACTTGCGGCTCTTGGGTTTGCTCCTTCTACAGCCGACCCGTCGCTGTTTCTGCGCACCGACACCTCTTTGCCGCCGTTCTACATCCTCATGTACGTCGACGACTTGTTCTTCGCCACTGCTGACACTGCTGGACTCGCCCACGTGAAGTCCGAGCTGCAGAAGAGACACACGTGCACAGACCTGGGTGAACTGCGTTGGCTTGCAGATCACCCGGGACAGAGCACAGCGCACCATTACCCTGACTCAGTCACACATGGTGCAGCAGGTCCTTCAGCGCTTCGACTTCACGTACCCCTCGCCTCAGGCCACTCCTCTGTCTACTCGCCACTCGCTCTCAGCTCTGCCTTCGGATGAGTCCGTAGAGCCGAGTGGCCCGTACCCAGAGCTTGTTGGCTGCCTCATGTACCTGATGACCTGCACACGACCTGACCTTGCATACCCTCTTAGCATCTTGGCACGCTATGTTGCTCCTGGGAGACACCGACCAGAGCACATGGCTGCAGCGAAGAGGGTGTTGCGCTACTTGTGCAGTACGTCGGGCATGGGGCTAGTGCTTGGAGGGCGACGTCGAGTGGTCCTCACAGGTCACGCAGACGCTTCTTCGGCTGACGACCAGGCTACGCAGCGGTCGTCACAGGGTTACACCTTCAGCCTTGGCTCCGGCTCTGTTTGGTGGCGGTCTACCCGCTCGTCTTCTGTTCTCGGCTCCAGCTGTGAGGCTGAGATCTACGCGGGGGCCATGGCTGCACAGGAGCTACGCTGGCTCACCTACCTGCTGACTGACCTAGGAGAGCCGCCTCGTTCTCCTCCAGTTCTGTACGTAGACAACAAGGCCATGCTGGCCTTGTGTCAGGAGCACAGACTGGAGCACAGAACGAAGCACATTGCTCTTCGCTACTTCCTTGCTCGTGAGCTGCAGCAGCGTGGTCAGCTGCGCCTTGCTTACGTGGCCTCTGAGGCCAACACTGCTGATATCTTTACCAAGGCACTTCCGCCTGGTGATCATCAGCACTTCTGTACGATGCTAGGTCTTGTGCCTACTTGGCCTCACTTGCTCACTTCTTGACCTTGCTTGTACTGTGATTTTTCTATACTTGCACTTGCCTGTTTACCTTTATATATGATCTTGCATGTGAACTGGCCTTTTGGCCTTGCTCTTGTGCTCGGATTGTGTGGTGACGTTGTGATCCACCCTGAGCTTGCTTTGATTTGCTTGACTGGTCTTGTGACCTCTTGTTCTCCCCCACTTTGCCTATGGGGGTGTGTCGAACTTATCTTCTATAGTCTTTGTAGGCTGTAGTGGGGTAGACTATATGGGGTACAACACTTTTAGGTTTTCCTACTTGTACCCACCTGCTTTCTAGTTCATTCATTCCTCATTTCTTAACATTGTTACTAGTCGCAATTGCAGTGAGCGGCGGGAATGTTGTCGACTCACTTTGGACGGGGGTGTTCTGATTGGTTGAATCAAGTTGGGTTAAACATACGTGTGTTGTTTCAGGTTTGGTTGAAAACCAACCATTTCAATCCAATCGTGTAGGTTCCATAAGCATTCACACATAGCTGTTTCTGATTGGATGATTTTCCAATCAATCAGCAAATTCAAACCCAAATCTCGCTTCCCACGTTTCCCACACCATGTTCATTGAACCTGGTTCAGTGGTTGGTATGTTACACTTTTACTATTCTCTTCCAGAAGCTAAGTGCGATATTGAAGGTGCTAAGCGAGATAATCGTGGAGCAATGAAGGTGCTTCGAGCGAGGCTGATGGCACCCAAGTGTCGTTCTCTCTGGTGCGTCCAGCGAATCAAGAAGTCCACATGGTGCCCTGAGGCGTCAAGGCGAACGTGATGCCCCAAAATTTTCAACGGGTCGAGCGTCGGTTCAGGTACATGTCGTGTTGTTGGGGCAGCATTTTGGCAGGCGATATCCGTCATGGCAGCAACAAAAGGGTGAATGAGGCTGACGTGGAAGGCATCGTACACATGCCTGTCATCTGGCAAGATTAGTTTTGCTGTCACCAGGGTGATTATTTTGATAATGCGAAAAGTTACACAATATCGCTGGCCGAGTTTCGACGAGTTAGATGTTAGAATTAGGAACGGAATGAATGAACTAGGAAGCAGGTGGGTACAAGTAGGAAATCTATAAGTGTTGTAACCTATATGAACTACCCCACTATAGCCTAGATAGACTATAGCATATATGTTTGACACACCCCCATAGGCAAAGTGGGGGAGAACAAGAGGTCACAAGACCAGACAAGAAAAGCAAAGCAAGCTAAGGGTGGATCACAAAGTCACCACGCAGTCTGAGCACAAGCAAATGGCCACAAGGCCAGTTCACATGCAGAGTTATATATAGGAGAACAAACAATACAGTGAACACAACCTAGCAAGTTTAAGCATGCAGGTATATGTGTAGAGAGTACAGTACAAGCAAAGTCAAGAAGTAAGCAAGTGAGGCACAGTAGGTACAAGGCCTAGAACAGTACAAAAACGCTGATGATCACAAGGCTGAAGTGCCTTGGTGAAAACATCAGCAGTGTTGGCCTGAGAGGCCACGTAAGCAAGACGAAGCTGACCACGCTGCTGCAACTCTCGAGCAAGGAAGTAGCGCAGAGCAATGTGCTTCGTTCTGTGCTCCAGTCTGTGCTTCTGACACAAGGCAAGCATGGCCTTGTTGTCGACGTACAGAACTGGAGGAGAACGAGGCGCCTCTCCCAATTCGGTCAACAGGTAGGTGAGCCAGCGTAACTCCTGTGCAGCCAAGGCCCCAGCGTAGATCTCAGCCTCACAACTGGAGCTGAGAACAAAAGAAGAACAGGTAGACCGCCAAGAGCCAGAGCCGGAACCAAGACTGAAGGTGTAACCCTGTGACGACCGCTGCGTAGCCAAGTCGTCAACCCAGGAAGCGTCGGCGTGACCAGTGAGGACAACTCGAGCCCGTCCTCCAAGCACTAGCCCCATGCCCGACGTACTGCACAGGTAGCACAACAACCTCTTCGCAGCATCCCAGTGCACCTTTCGGTGTCGACCGGGAGCCACGTAGCGAGCCAGAAGGCTGAGAGGGTATGCGAGGTCAGGTCGTGTGAAAGTCATCAAGTAAATGAGGCAGCCCACAAGCTCTGGATACGGGCCACTCGGCTCTACGGACTCGTCCAAAGGTGGAGCTGAGAGCGAGTGACCTGTAGGCAGAGGAGTGGACTGTGGCGAGGAGTACGTGAAGCCGAAGCGCTGAAGGACTTGCTGCACCATGTGTGACTGAGTCAAGGTAATGGTGCACTGTGCTCTGTCCCAGGTGATCCGCAAGCCAAGATAGCTTGTCAGTTCACCCAGGTCTGTGCACGTGTGTCTCTTCTGCAGCCCCGACTTCACGTGGGCGAGTGCCTCAGTGTCAGCAGTAGCAAAGACGAGGTCATCTACGTACACGAGAACGTAGAACGGCGGCAATGTGGTGTCAGTGCGTAAAAACAGTGAAGGGTCAGCAGTGGAAGGAGCAAAACCAAGAGTAGCAAGAGTCGTCCTCAGTGTGTCGTGCCACTCACGGGGTGCCTGGCGGAGACCGTAGACTGGCCGCCGGAGGCTCCACTGGGTACCAGCAGGAAACGACCCAGTGAAGCTAGGTGGGCAGCGCAGCCAGATCTCCTCGTGCAGGCTGCCCTGTAGGAAGGCTGTGCTGAAGTCAAGCGAGTGGAGCTCGTAGTCACGGTGAGCGGCGACGTGCAGCAGTACCCGAAGAGTGGTCATCTTTGGGGTAGGGGAGAAGCTCTGGAAGATGTCAACTCCCTGTCGCTGACTAAAGCCACGTGCAACGTAACGCGCCTTGAAGACAGGCAGAGAACCCGGCGGCCGCTTCACCCTAAAGATCCACATGCCACTGACGATGTTCGCCCCAGGTGGGGGAACCTCGTCGACGTAGGTGCCTGTGGACTTCCAGGAAGCCATCTCGGCGTCCATGGCTGCCTGCCACTGAGAGGAGTAGGGACCCTCTATCGCCTCTGCGTAAGAGCGCGGGGTCGGGATGTCTGGTGCATCCGGGTCTCCCTCAGGGGCAATCAGCATGGACACGAGATGAGGTACAAAAGCGGCAAAGCACTCAAACTCCTCCTGTTTGTCCTCAAGAACGTCCGTGCCAAGAGCATGTTGAGTGATGCAATCATATGCATTCACGTCTGTCTGCCTCCCATCATATGTTCGTGCGTTGCATGCGTGGTGTGAGCGTGTGCAAGAATTTGTGTTTTGTGCGGTTTGGTTTTTCTGAGTGTGTGTGAATGTTATTTGGCTTGAGCAGATATCTGAAGTGACTCCTCTGCTCGAGAGCTTTCCGACGAACCAAGTATCGCCTCAATCGGAGCACGATCAAGAAAGTTACGAACGTTGGAAGTTCGTATGCTTATGATATTTGGTTGTGGTGACTATGGGAAGTTGTGGTGTTGACTCCATAAGGAGTACAGAATCTTGGGGGTTGGGAAATTCGTCAACATCACTGCAGATGCTGCCAAGTGGTTGGGAGGTGCCAAACCAGGTTGGCAAGTGTGGCCAAGTTGGGTGAGGTGGATGGCATGGGTTGGGATAGTGACAAAGGTCAAAGTTTGTTGCCTATGGGGAAGGGAATTGTGTGGTATGGGGTTTCCTTGGTTGGGGACTCCCTTGGGGCCTTCCCTCTCGTCCTCCTCTTCCCCTCCTACCTGGTTTAGTGCTACTCTAACTTCTTTGTGTGGTAATTGTGGAACTTGTGTGAACTTTGTGATTGAGTTAAGTTCTTATGGCAGCATACCCCCCTGTGCGCCGAAATTGATAAGTCGAGATTTACTTCACCTCTTGACACGTTTCAACTTGGGAATTGTAGCCACGGAGTAGGGCTACAACATATCTGAGTTTGGTGAAGTTTTGACCGTGCACTTTTCGTCGACGGCGTCTCTTGTGAGCGCAACTATTCTGTCCAGAAATAGGGACCAACGATTTTGAGAAATTTAGGCACCTAATCTTCATAGACTCCGTCCTTAGTCTCTAACGGAGCACACTCACCCCCGACGAACGGAGGACAGACAGACGCAGACGCAGACTCAGCAACAAGACTAGTGGCGTAGTCTGGGCGACAGGCTGCAGCAAAGTCAACAAGCTCAGCAACGAGAGCAGACGCAGCAGTGGACGCAAATAAAGGGTCAGTGACAGCAGTGGCCAGGAAACGCGTGACAGTAGGACTAGCAGCACGAAGGGAGTCAGACTCCGGGTCCGGACCATCAGGAAGAGAGGACGCAGGAAGAGACGGCAGATGGACACGCTGTGGAGCAGTGGAAGGACGCAGTGTCATAGAGTGAGTGCCAGGGACAGGAGGAGGACGCGGATGCGAAACAGTGCGGACAGGCGACGCAGAGCGAGACTCAGGCGACACAGGACGAGACTCAGGCTCACGACGCTCCGTAAGACCTCTAGTCGGACCAGAGTAAGGAGAAGGACCAGGCAGTGGAAAGGCTGGCTGTAACTGCGACTGTGACTGGACAGGCGGTGGACTCAGTAAAGGAGGAGTAGGACCAGGAGAAGGCGGTAGACCAAGAACCTGCTGAAGGAGCAGAACGTAGTACGGCCGCGGCCGCGCAGCGCCTCGAGACACAGCAGAGACAGCACCAGTACCCTCAGCTCCAGGGTCTCCAGTAACAGCTCCCGCAGCACCACCAGCGCCAGTACCTGCAGCTCCAACGCCTGCAGCACAACCAGTCCCAGCAGCTCCTGTACCTTCAGTACGAGCACCTCCAGGACCAGCGGCTCCAGCAGCTCCAACACCAGCAGCACCTCCAGCAGCTCCAGCACCAGCAGCACCTCCAGCAGCTCCAGCACCAGAAGCACCTCCAGCAACTCCAGCACCAGTAGCACCTCCCGCAGCTCCAGCACCAGCAGCAACTCCAGCAGCTCCAGCACCAGCAATCCCTCCAGTACCAGTAGCACCAGTAGCACGGCGACAGCGTTGAGTGTACCACTCACGAAGCCGCTGCGGAGAGAGGGGCTCCCGCCGCAACGGGACACCCGGAGAATCTCCAGACTTAGCACGCGCAGGCTCAGCACC